TTTTCTATCCCTTTTCATGCAAAAATCTAACATAACTGAATACACTTACCACACTAAAACGCTACTTAAAGCGTAGCTTTTATGCCGAAGGTCCAACTGAAAATTGAAGGCGGAAATACCTAAAATTCCACCAGTTTCACCTTCTCTCTTGTCCAGTCTCTTACTGCCCTCTCACGGAACCTCCTCCCCAGGGGATTAGTGGCACGCTCAGACAAGGCTCAGAAAGGCTCAGATGTGGTCGTTCTCTGTGTTTTCGTGACCTTCTAAATTTTATTCGCTTAAAAAAGACTCTAGATTGTTTTAAAGTGTTGTTCAGCTAATATTATGAAGCGAAAAAAAGTTTCTTATAAACTCGAAACCTCCGTCGGGACAAGAGCGACTTCTCAAGGGGTCCTCAAGTGATTGCGACTTTGTGCAGAAGCAATCTTTTTCGATGAATTGAGGATAAGTTGTTCACTATAAGTGATCTGAAAGCAGATGACATCATTCTCGAATCAATTGATCCTTTTCTACTCTTGGTTATTTTACTTTGGTTTCCCTAGCAACCTAGCAACGGGATCAATGAGGAAGAACACAGAAGAGAAGTTTTTCTCCCTCCCTACCCTGACCATCTTTTCGAATCCAGGCTTCCACGTCAGGCTCGGAACGCCTGACGATAATTGAGTTTCTGAATCTGTTATGCAGCGCGATGCCGGTCGATAACAGGAGAATCGCAGGGCCTGAAGTCACCCAGCCCGTTATTTTCACAGGAAGAAAGGCAGTCGATAAACCTCTGGTACGAAAGGAATAACATCCTCTTCTTTGTCAGCTTTCATTGTGTTCCTTCGTTCATGACTTTGTCTCTCACTTCAGATAACTGGTGACGGTTTACGAAGAGATGGCCGGAAAACAGACGAACTTCGACCGATGTGTAAGTTGACTCCGCAACAGATAAACTGAAGTAATTTAAGGGAAGCGATGAAATATGAAGTTTTATGAACGCACCCATCAAAACAAAGCATTAAGTTCTGAAAAATTAAAAACAAAAAACAAAAAAGCCAGTGTATCATAATATGTATAATAATTATACTAAAATAATTCTTATGAAACAAAATTATACGAAGAAGTACTTTATAACTATGATTAAAACTAGTACAATTATTATAATTACTATTACAATAATTATTATTATTGTTACAGTTTTGCGTTCAGGGGTAGTCAGTCAAGCCAGAGGCTCAGCATACATTGAAATGCAGAACACCAAAGTCACATGTGCTGTGTATCCTTATACGATTATGTACATGAACATGTACTTTTATAAATTAATCGATCCATCTCCACAACGTTTCAAAGACCATAGATAAAGGGTATACATTCCTCCTCTGGGATATTGTCCTTTTGAAAAATTTAGATCCTTTGAATAAAGGATAATTGTTTTCTTTGTGTCTTTGTGTTTCCAATTCAAATCAAAAGTTGAAAATCATTGTCAAGGTTTGTGACAGTCAGGTTGATGTGTTCAAAAAGATACAATGTTGCAAATTGCCTCTTTGATGCTCTGTTCATTGCTGACTTTATTAACAATGTATGATTTATAGAAACATGTTTATTGATTATTAGTACTGGACACAAAGAAAGAAATGTCAAGTGAGAACTTTCATGTTCAATACTTCTTTTTTTTTTAATCATTTCAGCTTAGAAAAAGAACAAAAAAAATCATTTTTGCCTCTTGACTCAGTGTTAGATATGGGCCAAGAGAATCACAGAGACAGCAAGAGTTTAGTGAAAGGGTAATAGTAAAATGTATATAATATAATTTAATATGTCACTATATAATAATGTACATTTAACAGTACAGCTAATATGCAGAATGCTTCATAAAAGTTCTTTTGAATAATGAGCAGTTTAGAAGATGTTTAATTATCATTATGATAGATATTGTGATAGTTTGGTTTTTGATGTATTTTGTGAATGTGACCATTTGCTGACTTTGAGTTTCCTAAACAGAAATTTTAGTATCAAACATGAAAAGTGCTACATGATTCAAGATAAGGAAATTGAATCTGGACTAAAGAACTTTTGAAATTAACAATAAAGTCTGCAATACGTCCACCAAATATACTGAATTTATTATATCAATGAAATATGTGTAGCGCACTGTAGGATGTTCTGCTCATTCTGTCTTTTTAACGTCTTAGAAATAGCCTAGAAGTCTTATTTTACAGGGAAAGTTGACTTGTGAGTTCAAGTTTGCACCATTTTCATGCTGGCAAAGGCGACAACACATGCAGGTGATTATCACTAGCTATTGTGAGGGAAGATTATTCTGGGAACTAATTAATTTGATGAAGCAGCTATAATTTTTTTCATTTAAGATACAATTGGGAGCTTTGTTAACTTCCTTTTCTGGGAAGCTGGGTAATTAATGAAGAGGACCCTTAGCTTTTTGTCCAGATTTCCTGAAAGTTTACTGACAACCTTTTATATTCTAGGACCAGGTTGTTCAAAGCTGAGTTAGGATAACCCAGGATTAGTGTGAAATCTGACTTCAAATTTCAAAATCCTTCAATCCACAAACTCTCTAGCATTCAATTACTTTCATTATAAACTAATGACTGAAAATAGCTGTATGAGACTCTTTTTTTTTTCATTTCTGTTTTTCAGGATTCAGAAGAAAAGGAGCTATCTTCATTTATTGTCCAAGCTCTCCAGCCAGCAGTTTGCTTGGTATGTTTTCAAGAATTTTTGTATTCTGATGACTCAGCAGTTACAAACACAGTTGATAATGTAAACTGGCTATGGTAATTTTTTTCCTTTGTTTTTTATTTTACTTAACATGAAATTAAAATGATAAATGGCCCCTTAAGAAACAAATAAACCTAATCATGGGCTTTAAAAACTCTATGTCAACATGACATACTTAAACTTAGTTTCAAGGATAAAAACTGATCAAATTTTTGCTAACTCAACCGCGATTTTTCGTTTTTCGCAAATAATGCTGGCATGTTCTTCTTTTTGTAATTCATAGGAGAAGTTCCCCAAAGCTCAAGTTGACATCTATATTACTGTCCTAGAAAATGATGGAAATGGTTAGTCAGTGCGCATGACAATTGCATTTTGTTGTACAAAAGTGTAGGAATCTGTTGTTGATAGTGTAAATGCTAAAATGAGCTGGAATGGTCAAATGATTTCAAATTATGGTTATATGCACAACGTGGTACTTACTTTTGGATAGGGAACATTCTCTTTGTAGCTCTGGCTGTATTGTGAACAAACAAAGGAAAAATTAAATTAAGACATTTAGTGGTCATTTTTTTGTAAACTAGTCTTTCAAACCACAATACATGTATATTATATGTGGTTAGCTCAGCTTGAGTTTATAAAAATTGATGCTTTTTTCATTAAACCATCCTTTTAAATCCAACCTGATAATTTCTGATTGCTCACTCATAGTTCTTTACTGCTTTCTCATGCTGCTTGATGTGGTACACTGTTAATTGTACACTTCTTGTTTGTTTCTTACATGCCATATGAGTTAATTTTCAATCTGAAACTGTCATCTTTCATCAGAAAAGAATCGTGGTAAAATTTTCATCAATATGTAGCAGTTGTGTAAATTATCTTGGTTGAAAGTCTCCAGCATTTTGAAAAATCCACATGTATGATCTCATACAATAGAACTTGAGTAATTAAAGTTGACTTTTGTATATTTATTTAATTTGTAATCAATGTTGTCATTTCATGTACACACAGCTCTTTCTGCTGGAATAATTTGTGCATCACTGGCCCTTGGAGAGGCTGGAATAGAAATGTATGACCTTGTTTCCTCGTGTTCTTTGGTAAGGAAACAACTCTGCTTAGAAATTTTGGTGCTACATGTAGATCATTTCAATTTTAATATTTTAGTTTATGGATTTAGTATTGTATGGCTCACATTTATTGTATGGCCTTGCATGCTTGTCAACAAGTTCTTTTTAGCTTGAGGTGGTTGAGCATACAACTCTATTATACTGTTGATGTACCTTTTTTTATTTTAAGCTTGCAGCATGAAATTAGGTGTAGAATTATGATCAAAAAATTTTAAAAATATAAATTATGAAATGGTCTTGGAAGTAAAAGGGTTCACTGATCGTTTATGACTTCCACAGGTGCAGAAAGGTGACACATCACTGGTGGATCCCACATTTCAAGAGGTAAAGATAAAGTGAACAAAAATAATGGTTTAATGGACTACTTTTAATAGGTACAATACTTATTACAGGCCATATTCTTTTCTATTTGATTCCAGTCTGTTGTAGATGCTCAGTAAATGAACAAAGCACAATTATTTCTAATGGTAAACAGCACCATAGTTGCAGGGAGGTGAAAAGATAGGGAGGTCTGGGACAGATTGTGTAATGAACTTCCTAAGAACTATTTACGTGACCCAGGCCCTAACTTTTCTTTTTTTTGACTCTGTCATTTCTATTGTGCTGTTAACTATTTCGCACAGAGTCAGCACTGGAACAGGTTAGTTTGATGTGGCTCTGACGAAGGGCTGATGCTTGAAATGCCAGCTTTGAAGCTCTTTACAGCGGCCAATCTACATTATCAACTTAATTGATAAAGCCAAATTTTCTAGATTAATTCAACACTGCTTAGCTTTCAAACCTCTTTTCAATAACCTTCCTTTAGGCCACTGTACAAGTTTCAAATGTATGATGCTTTGCACTTTTTGACTTCTCTTTGTCCTTTGAAATTTCATGGCAAGAGTACTATTTTGACTTGAAAATAAATATTAGATAATACAAGTTTTATTCCATCTCTTCTTAATGAATTATGGGTCTTGGGTGTTAGACTTCATCTTCAGATATTGATGGAAGGGTCACCATAGCCTTTCTTCCTACTATGAATGTCATATCTGGTTTGTCACAAGATGGTGAATTGACTCAGGATCAGTCCAACAAGGTAATTAGTTGTGTGTTGCATCAGATCTTTGACTTTTATACCAAGGGGAAAAATTTCAAGAGTAGCGTAATTTCTGGCTCTATACTCACAGGGCAGATTACACACTTGCCAGTTTTAAACAGCAGTTGAAAATGCAACATCAGATCACCTGCACCATTGGATAAATTACATCTCAAGAACAAGGAAGGCCATAAATTAATAATTTTGCATGGTGCAAAATTATCGTGAATTTTTATTTATTATTAATTGTGGTACTTCTGAGTGTTTTGAAATCAATGTTGGTGGGGGGGAGGGTGGGGGAAGGGAGGGGTGTGTGGATCATATACTGTACTTGGCCAATTCACATACCCCTTCCCAAATTTTCCACAAGTTAAATGGCTTTTGAATGGTTTCTTTGCACAGCAAACTTCTTTGCCATCTGTTACAGGATTTGATCTTCTCTCTGAGTACAACTTTTGACAATTAGTGCTCAAAGAAATAGCTACTAACACGTATTTGCGAAAAAATAGTCCCACAATATGTTATTTTACTGAGTGCAATCCTGTTGAAATAAATGATGGGGCTCTGCCACCCCTCCCCTGGCAAAAAATAACGTAAGATATTGAAATTAACTCTATATTAAAGAACACAAAATGATGTATAATCAGTGTTCAACAAAGTTCCTTAATATATAGTTTTATATTTTGTAATTTTCATCTATCCCTTTTTTTTTTCTTCAGGCCATTAAGAGTGGTATGGAAGGTTGTGCAAGAATTTTTCCAGTTCTTCAAGAATCTCTTGTTAACACTGTAAAGCGAACTGTGAATTCCAATTGTAAAAGCTAAATTTGAACGTTTTCTGCGGTATTTATGACAAACTTAATATCCTATCATAAGAGAATAGCAGTGAGCTGTAATGTCAAGGATCTTTGCGAAAAGATGAGACATGTCTTCTGTTGTCGGAGATCTACTCAAGTTTGCTTTGGGGATGAAACAGTGCCTACATCCAGTGCTTCCAATAAGACCTGGCACCCGCTGAAACTCTGGAGGGTATTCTGTTGTGAATCGCCGGGTAAACTTTGGAAGCTCTCAAGCAAACTCATGAAGTGAGATCTAAAACTTAAAGGCTTAAAAGCTTTATTTTACAGTATGAAACACTACTTTCCCACATCTCCCATAAATAATTATTTCACGAATCTCAGTTTAAATTGTTACAGCTCCCCTCTTACATTGTCGTTGTCGAAGTCCAGTGCTCCCTCTGCAGGTGATGCGAGGTCGCTTTCATCCGAATGCTTGCCCGGTATTTCCGCCATGAATCTTGGAAGTGTAAAAGTTCTTTAAATCTGTTTCACAAAAAGGGTCATCGTTTTTTTAGATGAGTAAACATTTGTGTTTTGAGATAAATAAAACTCGCTCTTTGTTGTACGCAGCAAAAAAACAACAAAATAAAACAAAAAACAAAACAAACAAACAAATTCACTTTGAGTAGTTCTCGTTCTACAAAAATTGTTTCCTGTCCAGAGTCGTTAGCTAAATTTCCATTTAGCAACATTGGGGCCTTTTTATAATATACCAGTTTGCGAGACGCTCGATTTCTCTGCTTCAAAATGGTGCTAAGAACAAAAAAATTTCCTGATACCCTCACGCAAGTCGAACTCGTTTTTCTCACAGGGGAAGCGCTGAATTTTTTTCCTTCTATTTTTGTACCTTTATCACTGATTAATTCCTATGTGATATTCAGCAAAAGTTTACCAACTTGCTCGCCGACGCAGCACAACAAGTTTATTTTTGTCGGAAACTTATAATCTCCTCCTGCTAAGTCTAGGTGTTATTTCTTCCTCGTTTCACGTTCAACCTGAAGAAACGTATAGAAAGAACTTGTCATTTCATCGATCGGTTCACAGTACAATTTGAGGTAGCTAGAAGCAAGGTTGTTTGAAGCAGGGCTAAAAATTGGCGGTCGCACGGTCGCCAGTGGCGAGTTAAAACTGACCAGGGCCACCAAAAGTTGAGGTTTGAACGCCCGATGTGCGACTATGCTACAGAATTTCGAATAGTTGCAATGTTAATTATGCGAAGTACAAAGTTGAAAATAAAACTCAATATGTAGTTTAATTGGACTTCCTTTCTCTTCGTTTCTTTGCCTGGACTCTAAGATCATCCAATTTTAGCGAATTTTTTTAGTTCTGAAGTGGAAATTCCAAGAAGTTTTAACAGTGATTTTACGAGCTTGTTCTTGTTCTTTCCTTTCAGTTAACGCTCTGTTAAAAGCCATGGGGCGTTTGTACAAGTTTTTCATTTTAAAATAGAGGAAATCGAGGGCCATTTCATTTTGGGATGGGCCACTAAGAATTCAAGGAAGCTGGCCCGACTGGCCACCGAGCACTGGAGTTAATTTTTAGCCCTGTTAAAGTAACAAAAAAAAAAACAAAAAAAAAACTTGATTGGTAGAAAGTCTCGAGCGTATGGAACAATTTGGTTATAATTTGTGAAAAAATCACGCAATTTTAAACGACACCGACTTAAAACGTTTAAAATGAAAAATTTGCGCTAACGGGGGCTTTGTGGGCGCTTTTAGCCATATCTTCTTTTCCCTCGGATGAATTTTTTTTTGCCTGTTTAAAGGGGACAATTTGCACACCAAAATTATGCAACAAACCGTGAACCGTGCTCGTTCATTAGCCTGAGATCATCGTACCTCTTTAACTGTTCCATTTATTGAAAAACTGATACCGCGTTCTCGGAATACGCACGCTTACGTCAATTTTATGCGCAGTACTGGATGAGCAGTGCCATACCGAAGAATCACCTCAAAAGATACTGGAAAGCCATTAATTATTCGGTCGGTGTCGTAAATCGTTTTACTACTTTTTAATAAGCCATTTTTAATTTTTGAGAGCTGGGCTTATTACTTAAAACAAAACCAAGATTGATTTAAATAAAAATATGTTTACTCTGAAACAGGATAGTCCTGGTCGTGGTTAAAGTAGTTCGTGTGACGCTCCTGTTATTCACGGGAAACGTTGCGTGACATGCAAAAGAACGCGTGTGCTACTGCATTAGAGACAATAGAACTTGCTTTACAGTAGAAAATATGTTTACTTAAAGAAATGAACTGTCAGCCATAAAACATTCAGATCCATTTATCAGAATCAAATTGTAAATTGCTTGTAAAATGCAGACTCAGAACTTGTCACGCAATAAAATCACATAATGGCCAAGGTGTGAAACCTACTGGGCATGGGCAGTGTCAGCAAGGTTCCTACGGGTGCAAAGTAACTCAGAATTTTCAATAACTAGAACTCATTCTTCTGTTCATTTTCTTCTGTCATAACTTTGCTAAAATATCAGCAGAGGGTAGATAAAGAGATCAATGGTAAATGCAATGTGCATAACATATCACAATAGATAAATTTGGAGTGAATTGATAATCAATAAATAAATTATTAGAATGGATCACACAACTTTTTTACTTCTGACTTTTCTAGGGATTGGTAAAGCAAGTTCTTCTATTCTAGGAGTTGCCTGTGCTGCTTTTGCCCCCTGTGAGACTTTCCATGCATTAGCATCATAGTCTTCATTGTACTGACTGCGGCTTTTTGGCCTCGCAAGTTGCTGAACTCTGAGAGATGGTAGAGCCTTCTGGGCTGTCTGTGACACTTCCCAGATCACAGGACGCCCCTCTTTGTAATTGCGGTGTGGCATCTTAGGATTTGAAAGCACAAGAACTCTTTCTGATGCTGTTGCATTCTTGGCAGCTTCTGTCAAATCAGATTCCCACTCACTCCAATCCCAATCACTATTTGACTTGATTTTTAAGGGAGCATAAGTTTTGGGTTGTGCAAGGAATTCAGTTCGTTGAGAAGGCTCAGCCTTCATAGCTGCTTCACTGACAAGTCTTTGCACTTGCTGACAAGGTTGGTAGTCGCGATGAAGAGCTTTTGCCTCTGACAGGGTCTCCAGTCTCTGTGATGCCGTGGCTTTCATTGCTGCCTCACTTACTGGCCAGATTGCACTTTTTCTGTTAAGTATACAATAGTCATCATTAATACCCTTGACCCGTTAAAGTGATTAGCATCCAGTTTCTCCTAACAGTATGACCCCTGAATCACACATGAAGGTCACAAGAATGGAGATAATGATCACCAACCAAAGCAGCTCATGATTGATAAACAAATTCTCCTTGTCAGCACCTTAACCGATGTAACAGTAGGGTGTGACAGGTGTAAGACGCATTATTACAATTTGTGAATCTACAAAAAATTTTTCAAAGGGTAAAATTTTCAAGTTTGTTAACTGTTTCAATTAAATTCGCTTCATTCTGTAAACTACAACTCTACAGAATGATCAGTGCATTTAAAGCAGGTCTCTCGTCGATGTTGATTTAGAAACTTGAAATTTGATCTGTAATTATACAAGTGATAAGAAAAAATTGAATGACTGCAAGATAGGAGTTTAATTTGTTAATAACAAGTATGATTGATTACAAACAGAAGTCAGGGACATGCAGCCCTGTTATCTAATTACCAAAACTACAGCATAACAAAATTTGAGAAACAAACTGGTCATTGGTTTTACATTTCCATAGGAAACAACAGTTGACTCGGAAAAATGGGCAACAACCGCAAGCACAGGTGATGAGTACTGTCCAAATGCACTGGCATGATTACACTGTCTTATTAGTGTTCAAATTGATTTGGCAATAACCAATTTATTCAAGCATTTTCTTATAGTTTGATTAATTTTGAAATCACTATAGAGTTGCAGTAAATTGTGCACAATATATATATCTACTGTTGTAATTTGCCTTACCTGTCTCCTACATAATCTTTGTGAAGTTGTTTGCTATAAACAAGTTGTGCTTGTCTGTCACTTAACACTGTTGATTTATAATAAAAATCAGTTAAAAATATTTCAACTGGATCAGGTGAATGTTATCTATATGCTTGAAAGGAAAGCATCAAAGGCATAACTCAGTCAATATTCCTTTAAGGCCCTGGACATTTTGAGCATCGATTGAATTTTCTCCTTCTAACCATGATAAATAACGTAGAAACCTCGCAAACAGTTGTACCTGATTTCATTAAAAAATCATACGTAAATTTGGTTTTCTTAAGTGGCCCCATGGTAAATCATTTTCCATCGATAGATCGGATGCAGTAGAGCTATTGTTTTGAATGTTTCAACCAGATGCTCTAATCAGCCTGTGCTCTATTAAATAAATATGAGAATAAAGCAGCACTCAACTCGAACTGATTAAAAAAATAAGGCCTGAAAAAACTCTCAAAACATCTCTATTTTTCTTGAAGCTGTGGTATCTATTGAAAAAGCTAATTTTGGTTGCTAAGAACAAAAATGTTTGTTTTCTTTAGGACAGCAGGAGACTAGTGTTACTCTAAAATACGACAAATTGCGAAATTTTTACCCATAATAATTATGAGAGTCAAATTTCGTTTAATTGTTTATTAATCGAGACACTTTACCACTTTTAGTCGATTGTATGTTATCCCAGTCCTTTGCAAAGTTATTATCCCAGTATACTGATCGCCTGAAAACATAATTTCAGCGGGCAACAAATTAGTAAGTCACCACATATCGGGGTATTGTTTTTCATGACCGCATGAACCATTGCTAACATGTCAGAAATTCCGAGCGTGACTTTACAAATCTTCCCATTTTTCGGGAGCTAGCTGACTCGACCTTTTTATTCTGTAATAACGGACGTGTATTAATGTAAGATAGATCAATTGCAAGCAATAATTTATCAAAATTAACTTTCTTGTGAATAAAGTGTGAGAAATAACTCAATGTTTTTGCTTTGCAATCGAAACATTCCCCTACAAATGAGATGTTTCCGCTCTGTCCATGTAAAGGCACGTATACAATTTAAGAGAGCTTGGTTTTGAAGTTTTCCTAAATTGTTTGTTATGTATTCTTAACATAGTAATTTGTCTCAGATCTCTTACCTATCCTCGATGAATCCTACAGGAACAGGCTTCGCCCGGGACAGGACGTCTATTCGAGAGGCAGCTGAAAGACAGCAAAAGTATTCACTTAGAATTACGTTGAACTTGAATAAAACAGCAAAAAGCGCCAACTTACTTGTCGCTGCCATGTTGTCTTGATTTTCAGCCGTAGACGATTTTTGTTTGTCTTTCTCCTGTTCACCGCTTTCCATGTTTGTGTTGACCGTCTAATGAATCGTCTCTATGAACGCTCCAGCAATTTGCTGCATAGCAACAAGCAGGTTGAGCCTGCGGACGGTCGGTGTATTTACCCATGGGAGCAAGATGGGAAACAAGATGGCGGGATGGATTTCCGCGTATACTGGTTTTGCAGGCAATCTTGCTCGCTTGCCAACGGTGGAACAACTCTCTCCGCGTGTCTTACGTATCCTGGGATGTAATCCTAGCCCCATGACACTCCAAGGAACAAATACCTATCTTGTCGGGACAGGAAAAAGGTGATAGCTTCCCGCGAAGATAAGCCTGGATAAGCTAACATTAACCCTTTTTACACCTTGAAATCAGTATGCATATTCTCCATACCGTCTCCATACATGTCCTAAACTGCTGATAGGAAGAATTTGTTTAACAATCGAGAGCTTCTTTAGTTGGTGATCCTTTCCTTTTCATTTGACCTTAATGTTGGATTCATATATATAAGGATGATGTTATGAAAATGAAAACGATCTTCGCGGTAATGAACACTATTTAAGCAGTAGTGAAAATAGTGCGGGTTAAAAAACGAATAGGGTACTACACCGGTATGGTAGTAGTCATGGGTTGAAATCTTGTACAGGCCTGAATTTTTATCAGGCCTTATTTTCTCCTCTGCTTAAATAGGGTTTATTACTGTGAAGATCGCTTTCATATAAATTTCTAAACAGCAATGCACATATATGATTTTCATAAATTCACAGTCAGGGATGATATGGTGAGAATAAATCAGATTTTATTCTCCCATCTCCGAAGTAGATTTTGGTTGCTCTTAAGGGTCAAAGGAGCTTAATCGTTTTTTTTTTTAGTCATATCAATAGCACACTATTTTCGTGTTATTGTGTTGTTGTGTTTTGTATTCACAATATTCAGATATCTCATGTCCTTTAATTCAATCTATTTACATATTTAAATATCTATTTGCAAATCCCTGAGACAAATGTGCAGATCTGTAAAGTCATTTATTTTTATCTCAATTTCATCATCTTACATCCTATTCCACTGAATTTTTTTTTTAATACTTGCAATTACATCTATTCTTATTGTTCACAATGATTTTGAATACATGAATTTATTGTGTTTTCCTATAGTCGAGTATTGATTGACACAGGAAGTGGTGGTTCAACTGAATACATAGCGAAACTCAAAGAAGTATTATCAGAAAGTCGGTCTAGTATTCAAGAGATTCTCGTCACACATTGGCACCCAGATCATGTGGGAGGAGTTGTTGATGTTCTTAAGTGCTTAGATAATTCAGGTACTGTATTACATGTAAATAGTACCTACGTATGGTATGTTAATCCTTTCACTCCCAAGATCTCATGTAAAGTAATTCTCTGTCTGCAGTACAGTTCTTATAATTTTATTTACGAGAATTTTGTATCAGATCAACTAATTTTTCCCTTGTTGATATTTTTCTTTATTCTCATTAATTGTTTGCTTGGTGTTTTATTGATATTGTAAGGAGAAATTCTGTCTTGGTCAATCATGCAGTTAAAAGAGATGACCAGGAATCCAGTCTGAGTAACTGCTTCTGGGAGTCAAGGCAATACAGTAGTTGACTGATTATAGAGTTGAATTGCTTCATGTAGTAGGCCTGTCATCAATTTATTCTAAGAACCAAACAAAACAATATAACCATGTGATGTGGTTAGTGGTTTTTTTTAACACAAACAGTGTGAATTCTCACAAGTAGGATAAGAGCTATATGTATGTATTTTAAGTTGTTGAAATTGAAAAAAAAAAATCTGATATATGTTACATTATATAAAAAAAGTAATATTAAGAGGAACCAATGAATCATGGCTGTTCTTACACTTACAGGTCATGTGAAAATTTCAAAGCTTCCACAAGAGGGTGTTGCTGAAGAGATCAGTGGCACTACTGAGCATAGGTACAATTACCTCAAAGATGGAGATGAAATTGTGACAGAAGGAGCAACATTAAAAGTTTTTCACACCCCTGGTCATACTACAGACCACATGATACTTTATCTGAAAGAAGAAAATGCTGTCTTTTCAGGAGACTGTATCTTGGGTCAAGGTACCACTGTAAGTACAATGTTATATACTTATAGACTTAGTGGGAGGGCCAGATGAGAAATTATTTAGTTCAAGGTTATGGTGTACCGACCAAGTGCAGCAAGGACAGTGGGTCATGACTGAGAGCCGAATATTTTCCTATCCAGCCCGACCAAACTCAATCAGTAGGCATTTTATCACTTGACCACCAAGTGTTGAAAATTTCTAAACTTTTGTGTCAACCTAAATAGGATTCACTT